AAAATCCATCCCAAGAAGAATATCGCAAAGGAAAGAGGAGGAATAAACATTCTGCAAGCAGTGAAATATTGAGATGTGAATCCAACTTTTCTTCCCATCACAGAATCCGTGCAGGGGATGAAATGTACAAATGCTCTGAATGTGGGAAGGGCTTCAGCAGGCTCGTAAGCCTCACTTCTCATCAGAGAATCCATAAGAGAGAGGAACCATCCAAGAGTTCAGACTGCGAAAACAGCTTTGGTCTGTGTGAAAGTCTTACTTCCCATCAAAGAACCCACACAGGGCAAAAACCGTGCCGGTGCTCAGAGTGTGGCAAGAGGTTGAGCTGTAGCAGTGCTCTTATTTTGCATCAGAGAATCCATTCAGAGGAGAAACAGTATAAATGCTTGGAATGTGGAAAGAGCTTCCGCTGGAGTTCAAACCTCACTGTGCATCAGAGAATACACTCAGGGGAGAAACCATATAAATGCTTGCTTTGTGGAAAGACCTTCACTCTCAGTACAAGTCTCAATTCCCATCAGAGAATCCACAACGAGGAGAAGCCATATGAGTGCCTGGAGTGTGGAAAGACCTTTCGTTGGAGCACAGCCCTCACGTCCCATCAGAGACTGCACACAAAGGAGAAACCATATGAGTGCCTGGAGTGTGGAAAGACCTTCCGTTGGAGCACAGCCCTCACTTCCCATCAGAGAACCCACTCAGGGGAGAAACCCTACCAGTGCACAGTGTGTGGGAAATGCTTCAGTCAGAGACCACACCTTACTTCCCACCGAAGAGTCCATTCTGGAGAGAAACCCTATAAATGCCAGGAGTGTGGAAAAGGCTTCAGTCAGAGCTCACATCTAAATGTACACCGATCACTCCACACAGGAGAAAAGCCATATAAATGCTTGATTTGTGGAAAGAGTTTCCGTATCAGAACAAGCCTTAGATCACATGAAAGAATCCACACAAGGGAGAAGCCATATGAATGCCTGTATTGTGGGAAAAGCTTCAATCAGAGTTCAAGCCGTAATACACATCAAAGAAGAATACACACAGGAGGGAAGCCATATAAACGTATGAAATGTGGAAAGAGTATTGGCAGCAGTTCACAACTTAACACACACAACAGAACTCATGCATTTAAATGCTGCCAATGTGGAAAGAACTTCTCTACCATCACACGGCTGACAGGACATTATACAGTCCACACCAGGGAGAAAAAATATAGATGCAGGGACTGTGGGAAAAGATTCAGATGGAGAGGCCGTTTTCTCTCCCACCAAAGAAGACATGAAGAGGAGGATTCATAGAAATGATGAGATGAAGAGTTTTACAACTGAAAAATAAAAGATTGGTGGAACTAGAAGGATTTGATCTGAGATTTGGATGGCATGTATATTTGTCATACATACAATGTGGAATTTAATAACTATTATATTTCACGTGCCATTTTGAGAGTGTGGAATAAGTATAAACCCAGACTTTGTACAAAAATACCATTATGGTTATCCCCACAAGAAGCATATTTCAGAAAAGGAATGACTGGTTTATATAATTGGTTATCATACCATGATGTGTTAGAATTTCAACAAGGTGAATATAAATTAAAATCTAGAGAAGAATGAACATATGAAGCCGAAGGCCATACCTGTAACTGGTTCAACATACTTACAAATCCAGAAGTTTAAGGTTGATTAAAAAAAAATCTTTTGATTTTAAGTGTCCAAAGTCTGAATTCGTAAAAGGAGTATGTACAAATGATAATCACGTTATCGCTAAAATGTATAAACTTTTTTTGAAATCTGAGACTGAAGAACAAGTTAAAGACTGTACGATTAAATGGGCCAAAAATGTTGGACATGATATACTAATAGATCAGTGGGAGAAGATGTAGACAAAAGGGCTGCATTTTACGCTTAGCTTTAACATACATCATATGTTATATGGTGTATCTTATTGTATGCTTTTATGTTGTGGACTCCCCTGAGCCCACTTCGGCGGGAAGGGCAGGATAGAAATCACACAAATAAATTAAAAATATATATAACTTGAAAGAGAACTTTTATAAAATGATGTACCAATGGTATATGTCTCCAGAGAAATTGTTTAAAATGTATAAAGGTGCTTCTGGTTTATGTTGGAAATGCAGTCACCATGAATGGACTTTTTGTCACATGTGGTGGTCTTGCAAAAAGGGCAAAAACTTTTGGATACAAAGGCATTCTTTAATGCAGAAGATTTTAAAGACTAAGATATAGTTGAAACCAGAGTCCTTTTGTATTAGCTATTGTAGATTTTCCGGGTTTTTTTTTTTTTTTTTTTGGTTTAATGGACCATCAGCCAGAATGAAGTCATGGAGTTTTGTTTTTATATATGTCTACAGCAGGAAGAATGACATATGCACAGAAATGGAAATGTCCAGCAGTACCTACTGTAGAAGAATGGTTGGAGAAGATGTTGGACTTGGCAGCTATGGCTAAACTTACAGTACTGGTTAGGGAAAGGACAATTACACCATTTATTAGAGACTGGAAAACCCTCATTGACTTTTTGCATGAAAAAGATGACTTGAGGATATGTGGTTTTTCTGACAAAGAAAAATGCCTAAGGGGAATGAAAAGAGAGAGATTTTTTGTTTGTCATTGTAAGCAAGGACATTTTTGTAATCAAAATTATATTTGTTGTAGAGAAAATTGGAAGCCTTTTATATCCCCCTCCCCCTTTTAGTTTGTTTTATGGTGTTTCGTTTTGGGAAGTTTTTTTTATTTTTTTCTGTATGTCTTCTAGTTTTATCTCTTTAATAAAACTAAAACGTGTAGATGGAAATACAACAAGCCTTAATGGATGTCAAACAAGTCACAGAAGCCCCAAGTTATTTAATTATGAATTAGTTAAGAACCTTTTATTTCTCAGTGAGTCCTCAAACCTTAGTAGACAGACAGGAATCTAATAGACAGTTTGGTGTAGTGGTTAAGTGCACGGACTCTAATCTGGGAGAACCGGGTTTGATTCCCCACTCCTCCACTTGCACCTGCTGGTGTGACCTTGGGTCAGTCACAAGCTCAGGCACAGCTGTTCTTGAAAAAGAGCAGTTTCTGTCAAGAGCTCTCTCAGCCCCACCCACCTCACAGGGTGTCTGTTGTGGGGAGGGGAAGGGGAAGGAGTTTGTAAGCCGCTCTGAGACTCCAAGTGAAGGGCAGGGTATAAATCCAATCTCTTCTCTTCTTCTTCTTCTCTAAGGGGAAGTGCTTAAGAGATTTGTGGTAAACCTGACCATGTAATATTGCTTATTATTTTATTCTCCCTACAACAGGTAGATGGGCTTAGCTGATAACCCCATGAGACAATAATGGCACCAAATAGCCCCAAGGATTTAATGTCTCAGAAATGTGCCTGCAGATGGGAAACTCCCCACAAAGGGCTGCAGATTCACTCTTCCATGTCAAGCCTTCTGCAGCCCAGCATTGTGTCCTTTGTTCCCAGTGACTGCAATTCACTGTTTATTTGCCTCCTGGTGTTCAGCTGAAACATCCTGGCGCATCTTTGGACCATTCTCCATAGGCAGAGAAGATGCCCATTTCCGAGCCTTCTCAGTTGGGATCTGCCTTCCATCTTGAAAGCAGAGAGGCTGCTTTCTGTGTGTGTTGAGTGTCCAAAAGTAACTCATTTCCAAATGGCTGCAAATCGTCCTTCAGCCACGCTGCAAAGTTAAAGAGGAACATCTTTGGACTCTGTGAAACCCAGTTCCCTTTTGTCTCTTTTAAAATGTAATCCCTTTGTTTTAAGCTTTTTTGAAGTAGCTTGTGAGTTGCTTCAGTAGGAAGGTGATTTATATAAGATCAAAATAATTATGGAAAGAAAGAAAAGGGATGGCATAAGTATGCAGGTTTTTGTACATAGTAATGTGGTTTTGCAACGGACAGCCAAGAAAGGAAGAATTTTCAAAAGTCACCGATTATTTGATCGAGAGAAAAACAGCACAATTCATTTCCATAGAGTTAATTTTTAAAAAAAATAACCAGAAATCATCCAACAAAAGAGAGGAGGTGTTGCCAGAATTTTTGTTGTTGTAACATTTCAGAATGGATTCAGCTTCCAATTTCAGTAAAGCTATTCTGTTCTCTATAAAGTAGTCCATAAGGCACAACGAGGAGCTGCGGTGGCTCAAGTGGTTAAGACGCTGAACTGCAGGCTGTGGAATTCAGCAGTTCGAGACCCAGGTGCCGCATGATGGAGTGAGCTCCCGTCTCTAGTTCCAGCTCCTGCCAACCTAGCAGTTCAAAAGCAAGACATTGCAAGTGGGAAGGTAACAGTGTTCCATGCGCCTTGGTGTTTAGTCATGCCAGCCACATGACCACGGAAACGTCTTTGGACAGCGCTGGCTCTTTGGCTTTGAAACGGAGATGAGCACCGCAACCCTAGAGTCGGACAAGGGAACCTTTACCTTTACCTAAGGCACAACGGCTTGTTGGACCGAACTCACCGGGTCTTGGCTTACAAAAGATAGTTCTTATATAAGGTGCTAAGAGTGCAGGAAATCAGTGCCCCCCAAAAATAGACTCTCCTTTTGCTGACTTCTGTTTACTGATTCTGCTCCACTTGGGCTAACCTGACTTGTTTCTGAAGGTTACATTAACAGCTCACCCTCAGTCATGCGCCCAGGTTTATTTCTGTCTCTTTCTGGCACCCAACAAGCACAAAGCCTACTTGCTGGCCAGAGGGGGAGCTGGTTTTTGTAGAAATGGGTGGGGGCTGCTGCTGCTGGCTCGCTTGGGAAAATGTCAGGTTAATTTCCAGACAATACGTTCCCCGCTCCCCCTTGTTGGTTTATCTCCCAAAAAAGCAGCTTCCCAGCCGAGGGTTAAATCCTGATTTGGTTAATCCTCCGTAAGAGGCAGAGCTTTTGGGTGGTCCCGTAGTTAAAACCAGCGAGTTCAAATTTCCTAGAGAGGAAGAAAAAATTGGGGAGGGGGGCCTCAATTGCAGATGCATTTTCCTGCCTCACCCCTTCCCCCGAGGAATCTTTGTGCCTGAGCTTTGGAGGTTTCGTTCAGAAGGCCAGTTTGGCAGCGCAGAGTTCTCAGGTGCAGTTTAGGGACGGTGGGGGTGGGGGGGCGAAGGGGATGTTATTTTTTTGGGAAGAAGCAATTAAAGCAAGAGAGACATCGGAGGGGGGGGGAGAGTTCAAGTCAAGTGCAATCCAATGAAAGATTGTGCGGTATGTGCGTTTGCATAATATACTGTTTGCTGGGGAAATTTTGCTGGGGAAATTAACAGATTAGGTTAGCAGCAAATTAAGTGAGTGCAGATGTTTGTTACGGAGCTTGGAACCCATATATATATTTTTGGCAATCTAAAGAGAACGATTCCCCCCCCCCATTTATGGGAAGTGGTGATTTCATAATGCATATGGAGCTATAAAGAACTGTGACCATCTTACATTTTAATAGTTGTGAGCAATTTAATGTTTTCTAATCCTTCAAACTTTTTAATTTGCCTTTCTCTTTTAGGAGTAGAAAAGAGCAAGAGTCTAGTAGCACCTGAAAGACTAACAACATCTGTGGCAGGGTGGGAGCTTTCGTGAGTCACTGCTTCTTCAGATAATATTTAGATATCTGAAGAAGTGAGCAGTGACTCACGAAAGCTCCCACCCTGCCACAGATGTTGTTAGTCTTTCAGGTGCTACTAGACTCTTGCTCTTTTCTACTGCTACAAACAGACGAACATGGATACCCATCTTATCTTTCTCTTTCGGGATTTCCCTTGTTAACATATGGTTATGTGTTCTATTATTTTCATTTGAAACCCTCCTTTCTCATTACTGAGACCAAAAGGTGGATTATGCACATGATAAAAAAATTTTTTCCAGTTAATGAGTAAACAGATGACAAAATATCAGAAATTCAGACAAGCAGTGAATGGAATACAAGGTATAATGACATTTCAGTCTAAAAGCAAATATTCTCGGTAGGACAAAATAATGCAGCTGTGAATAATAACATAATATTGTATTGAGTGTAGTCAGAACCAATAGATTTCTGTGGCGTCACTCTGGACAGGAGGGCGTGGGAACACGCCCCCATTGTCCAGTTTTGTGCACCTCTTCCAAGGAGAATCTTTCCCTTCCCATCTACATTAGGGATCAGAAAGAGAAATTTTTTATCCCAGAATGTCTACTGGTCTCTTATTTCCTTCAGGGAATGACAGGCACAGCTTGCGACTGGGGATGTGTGTGTGTGAGGGAGAATTGAAAGGGTTGCTCCATGCAAAGGAAGTCGGAGGATATGGTCAGGTTCCTGTCTCTGCCATCGCTGTGCAGAAGGGTGAATTTCGGCGGATGCCACTTCTTTCAGTTATAAGAGTCCTACACAAAGGAACACAAGTTCAGGACTCCCCCACCCCACCCAATCCTGTTTTGCTTCTCAGGTCATGAGGAAACAGTGCTGTGTTTCCTGGCTAGTTTTTTTGGACTAAAATAGCATTATATGCCACCCTTATGGAAGATCAATTCGGAACATCCAGAGCACTTAATAATGTCGTAATATTGTAGAAATTGTTTTAAATGGTTTTAAATGTGTTTTATGCACTGCGGTGGCTCAAGTAGTTGAACTGTAGGCTGTGGAAGGTCGGTACTTCAGCAGTTCGAGACCCGAGTGTGCTGCATGACGGAGTGAGCTCCCGTCTCTAGTTCCAGCTCCTGCCAACCTAGCAGTTCGAAAGCAAGAAACTGCAAGTTGATAAATAGGGACCACTTCGGTGGGAAGGTAACAGCGTTCCGTGCGCCTCGGTGTTTAGTCATGTCGGCCACATGACAACGGAAACATCTTCGGACAGCGCTGACTTCGGCTTGGAAACAGAGATGAGCACCACAACCCTAGAGTCGGACTCGACTGCCTTTCAAGCAAGGGAACCTTTACCTTTACCTATGCCTGATTGTGAGCCGCCCTGAGCGCGCGTTGCGGGGAGGGAGGGCTATAAATCGAACTGATAAACAAAATAAATAAATAAATAAAATATAAAATAGAATCTCCATATTCCGATGCAATTTGCTTTAAAATACGTTAGGCAGTGAATGGAGGGGGACATTAGTGTCTGCTTGTGGGTTTCCCAGGGGCATCTGAATAGCCCCTGTCTGAAATGGGAGGCTGGGCTGAATGGCCTGATCCAGCAGGGGGCCTCTTTTCTTCTTCTAGAAACTGCTTTGCTTCAGATTACACTGTTGTGTGAATCACCTGACAGGTTGTTTGTGTCTCTCCTCCAGGGCGACCTGCTCTCTGGGAGTCAGGGAAAGCCATCGGCCTCCGTGTGACCACCCCTTCTTTGCACAGGGACCCAGTGTGGGGAAATATGTCTGAGGGAGCCAAATGCTGAACTGTTCTGGCATTCACCAGCTGAAGTGATCAGCGCTGTGAGACTCGGGGGCCATTGGATGTGCAGAGCAGGCCTCGCTATTAAGGTCGTCCTCTCACAAGGGTAATTCTGTTTCTTTCTCTTCTCCTCTCCCTCTTCAAAGGCTGGTGAAGTGGTTAGAGTGTAAAACCAGGACCCACACTCTGCCACGGAAGCATGGGCTGTTCACACACACTCAGTCCAACCTACCTTACAGAGTTGTTGTGAGGATAAAACGGGGAGTAAGAGAAAAGAGGTGTTTAAAAGACCCCATTGGGGGGGAAGGCGGCACAGACAGGGAGTGTGGAAATATCTCCTCATGTAAAACAGGGTGCTTAAGAACCTCACTGGCCTATCAAAGCAAGTGCGGTTTAGTGGGTAGGATATCTGACTAGGATCTTGGAGGTCGAAGATCAAGTATCCACTCTGCCACAAAAGGCTGCTGGCTGACTTTGGGCCAGTTGCATGCTGTCCGCCTGACCTACCTCACAGGGCTGTTGTGAGGACAGAATGGAGGAGAGGAGAATGATATAAACCATTTTTGGTCCCCTTTGAGAAGATAGGGTCTAAAGGAAGTAAACCAATCGAGATAAATGTGTCTCCCTACAGGCCGTGGAAGAGCATCAGAGCCGGTTTCTAGAACATCTCCTCTTTGGGGTGGAGCGGAAACATTTAAGATGCAGCGAGCTTGGGTAAGGGATGGATTACCTGTGAAAAGATACCCCTTTTCCCTCCTGCAGTGCTGGAAGGAACCATTTCTGTTTGTCTTTGTCATTTTGAACCTTTTTCTTTTTGTGAGCCACCTTAGATTTCTCCACAGAGAAAAGAGACCTTAGCTGAGGTTCAGACTGGCAGTTTGAAGCGGGAGGCAGTTGTTGCAAAAAAGGAGCCGGAACAAATTGTTCCGGGTTTTCCCAGTCACACTGTGCGGACTGATGCAGGAGCAGGGGTCATTTCCTGCAGGAGCGCACAGGACGGAGCGGAGCTCCGGCAGTAAAGAGCCCAGGGGGCAGGCACATGCAACAAGCCCCGCCCCCTGCTCCCAGCAGCCCTCAGTCAGAGCAAGAAGCAAACAGGTAAATTGCAGAGCCCTCCCGGTCCAAAACAGTCCAGTGGCACCTTTAAGACCAGGTTTTATTCAGGTACAAGCTCTCCCTACTCTATGAGGACAGATCTGCACGTTCCTTCCCCCCCAGTAGCTGGCAATCCAAAACAGTCCAGTGGCCTTCTGACATGCTTCTGGTGATGTCAGGGGGTGTGGCATATGCAAATAAGTTATGCACCTCTTTTTCTACGAAATGACCACTGTGCAGGAGTATACTGGGAGGAGGCGTGAGGGAGCGTTCACACTGTTGGCCTGGAGGTGCGGCTGTAAGCGGCGTTTTCCTTGCGGGAGATGCCTATGCGCAGTGGCAAATAGGGCAGGATCTGGCCGCTGTGGGCCATGGGCACATCCAGCGACATCACTACCCCCTCTTCAAGGCAATCACCTGCACCTTCCTGGTGCCAGAGTGAGGCTAGGAGGTCAGTCAGCGTAAACAGCCGGCACACATTATTAACACGGGCTGTTCCCGGCTTTTAGCGGTTAGCGTTCACACTTCCGGGAAGGGGAATGAAGCAGGATAAACGGGCTCTCCAGGGTTTGCTACCACATTCACCAGGTATCTTTGAAACCCGGGAGCGAAGCGTTACAACACGGGCTGAGTACAGGTGGGGAACGCCAGACAGAGGTGCCTGTGTGAATGCCCCCTTTAATCCGCTTGTGAAACGTTCATCACACGCGCCTATATTGGGGCAAACGGCCAGTCTGAACTCGGCCCTAATAGGCTTAAAGAGAGAAAGAAAATGTATTTCCATGGCTTTCTGAGAACTGCCAGGTAACACAGCAGCCTGTTCAGAAGGCCGTGTGGTCCACAAAACTTCTTCCATGAATGAAAAGATGGGATGCCTGTAAATTCCCCAGGTTTTTCTATCGTACGTCAAGTATTCCTTGAAGGTAGAACTCCCTGTTGGAGTAACAAGAACCTGAGATAAAGGGCCTGCGTGGGAGGGAGGGTTTGTGGCTCAGTGGTCGAGCACCTGCTTGGCATGCACAAGGTCCCAGATTCTAATCCTTGGCACCTCCAGCAGTGCTCCCTCTAAGCTGCGGAGTCCTGTGAGCAAAAATTCTACTTTGTGAGCTATTTGCATTAAAGTTGGGAGCGAGTGATTTGGCTCCTGCATAAATGAGTTTGCTCTGGAGCCATCCCTTCCTGAGCTAAGACAAAAATATGTGAGCCAGAGGCTAAAATTCTGTGAGCTGGCTCACACTCACTCAGCTTAGAGGGAACACTGATCTCCAGTTAATAAGAGGATCAGGTAGGAGGCGATGTGAAAGACCTCCTCCCGAGGTCCTGGAGAGCTGCTGCTACTATGAATAGGTAACAGTCATCTCGATGGACCAATAGTCAGTGGATTTAAAATAGTGTAACTGTCCTTACAAGGGTCCGGCAAGGATCTGACTCCATAGATCGCAGCTTCAGGTTTTCCTGTTTTAATATCTGCAGTTGGTGGAGGAGAGGCCGTGGCTCCGTGGTAGAGCATCCACTTGGCACTTAGAAGGCCCAGGTTCAATCCCCAGCATGAGTCTCTGGAGAGCCTCTGCTGGTTTGACTGGACAGGACTGACCTCAATAGAAGAGTGGGCTGATTCAGTATGAGGCTGCTTCATGTGTTCTTTTTTCTGTATTGTGAGCAAAAGCATCTTTGGCCCGGAGTGGATGGATCGGTTGTGAGGAAAAAGTATCTTCCTTCTTTTTCAGTGTCCGGTTTCCTTCGAGGAGGTGGCCGTGCGTTTCACGAAGGCCGAGTGGGCGCTGCTGAATCCTGACCAGAGAGCTTTGTATAGAGACGTCATGGTGGAGAACTATGGGAATGTGGCCTCTCTGGGTAAGGGTCCCTTTTGTCTTGCTTGATAGACGTGGAAGCTGTAAGTATCGCCACTGTTTCTTTTTTATTTATCTTATTTAGATATCCTGCCTTTCTCATTGTGACTCAAGGCAGATTACAGTGTCAGTCGGTACGATTCATAGGATGAAGAGGCAGCCAATCAGCAGTGTAAAAAGGGCTTGGCTTGGAAGGCCCCCGAGGAAGACCAGGGTTGCTGTGCAGAGGAAGGCAGTGACAACCCACCTCTGCTCATCTGACATGAACGTTTTGCATCCCCTTGTAATGGATAATGAATGTCATTACAGTCCTCGCTGCAGGGCTTTTTTTGTAGAAAAAGCCCAGCAGGAACTCATTAGCATAATAGGTCACACCCAACAGCAGAAACTCATTAGCATATCAGGCCACACCCTGACACCACAGCTCATTAGCACATTAGGCCGCAGCCCCATGTTGCCAGAAGTGTGGTCATCCAGCCACACCCACCTTTTGCTTCTTATTCGGTTTACCTTGTTTGTGGTCAAAACTCAGGGCCTTTTTTTGTAGCAGCAAAACCCAGGGCATTTTTGTAGACTCCTTTGCATGTTAGGCCACAGACCCCTAATGTAGCCAATCCTAATGAGTTCCTGCTGTTGGGTGTGGCCTATTATGCTAATGGGTTCCTGCTGGGTGTGGCCAACTCAGGAACCAGCCGGAACTCCGTTCCTGTGCGTTCCTGCCCAAAAATAGCCCTGCCTGGCTGTATGCCAGTTGGAACTGGCACTTGTTATGCATGGTAACATCACCATGTCGTTCTCCTCGAGTCCTAGCCCTCTAATGAGTCAGCAGCCTGTGTTTAAGGATTCTGTGGGTCCCAGACTATCTCGGTCTCACCAAATCTCGGAAGTTAAGCAGGGTCAGCCCTGGTCAGTATTTGGAAGAGAGACCAGCAAGGAATACCAGCGTCATAATGCGGAGGCAGGCGATGGCAAACCACCTCTTAACATCTGTAGCCTTGAAAACCCCATGGGGCCATCATAAACCAGCTGTTACTCGAGAGCCAAAAATTTAAAAAAAAAAAACCCAGCGGAGGGCTTTTTTAAAAATTGGGGATTGCTGCAGAGCAGTAATGTTACAACAATCTAGTGCTATGCAGTGTTCCCTCTAAGCTGAGTTAGTGTGAGCTAGCTCACAGTTTTTTTAGCCTCCAGCTCACAGATTTTTGTCTTAGCTCAGGAGAGAGGACTGCAGAGCAAACTAATATATGCGGTAGCCAAATCGCTGGCTCACAACTTTAATGCCAGTAGTTCACAAGGTAGAATTTTTACTCACAAGACTTCACAGCTTAGAGGGAACATTGGTGCTATGGTCTACTAGTTTTCCTGAATTCCCAGCTTACATTTAAAAAAAAAACAAAAACACTTCTTTGGCCTTTTTCATTGCAGTGATAGAAGAGGGAAAGTGCCGATAATTTTTGTCCAGATTGCCTTTTCCTCTCCATCAACAGTTGGGAGCTGTTCTTGCCCATTCTTGACTGGACTGATTACTCTCTTGGTTTCTATGTTGTGTTAGCCTGATTGCTCTGAGTTATTATCAATATTGGGGAATATGAGATATTATAAAATAGCAATAGGCAATAAGGAAACAAACACCTTTATATACAGGGGTCCCGCGTCTTCCAGAAACACCAGAAATAGACACGGAGGCTGGGTTCAATATAAAATGATTCCTTTACTGTAGGTTCTTCACAAGCAAACCACACAAGCACACACACAGTTACACAGCTTTTAAGAAAAGTAGATAGAAAATCAAGAGACGTTCGCATGAGCAGGATATCGTTGAGGGACAATATTTACCTGTCCGGCGAGATGGTGCGTCCCCGTGGAAAAATAGGGGAGACTAATAGGAAATAAGGATCGTGTTTTGAACCGGCCAGAAACATGTAGAGACTTCGGCTGCAGTCCAAAAGTCATAGAGGCAGGGTGGGTTTAGAGAGCTAGAGAGGGGCCCAGAGAGGTCAAGAGAACGAGAGCACGTTGCTGGGTGCCCACTTTTGTATGGGGGCTCTGGGGGAGGGTTTTGCTGGCCACCTCCCTTGAGACAACCCCTGGTGGTCCGTTCCAAAAGTCACGTCCGCACTGGGGAGGGGGGGGCTTAAAGGGTGGTCAATATTAAAATCTAAGTCTGTGGCAGAGACACCTCGAGGGCTGGGGATGACTCATCGGCTGTCACCTATTGTGACGGAAGTCCATTTCCTCAGCCATTTCAGGTACAACCAGTTCCTTGAGAGGATTAGGAAGGCCAAGTTCTTTGTTAAGCGTAAGGCGGCGGGAAAGAGTCTTTTGACCCTGTGGAGAAGGTTGAGGGGGGGAGGGAAGTTGCCTGCGTGATGAGGAAGGACTCGCTTAATGGTGTCGGGAGTCCCTGGTTTAAACCGCAATGGCAGATGGCTGTTTTGGAGTGCTTCCTGTGTCTAGGGATACATCTTGGAACGGGGAACCTCGGGAACCACGGGCACATCGTCTCAGGTGACTGCTGGCATGTGTTTGGCATCACAAACTGGTCACCTTACCTCAGAGTCCCTTTTGCACATTTTATACACAGTCCATTTATGTCCATAAAAGCTCACAAAGCTCCTTGCTGGGCAACGGTTGTTTTAAAGGGGGCTCTCTTTGTGACATCTGGCTCCCTGCGGTTTGTAGTTTCAAGTATAAATATATTTGCTTACTGGATGTTCACTTCATGCCTCTGAAGAAGTGAGCTCTGATTCACAAAAGCTTCTACAGGAATAAATCTGTTCGTCTTCAAGCAATCCTTCTGGACTTCTTTTAATGTCAGTTGTTACAAATCTAAACCCACAAGCCTGGATAAATCCTAGGGCATCCATAGTGCTTTCACATCTGAATAACTCAACTGGGAGTTTTTTTGTTGTTGCTTAAAAAGAGAAATTGAAGCTTTCCCTTCATGTTCACCACACTTCATCCTAGGAGCTGCATTGATTTGTGGGAGAAGTTCCTTTTTTTTTTTTTTTTTTTTTTAAAGAATTTATTTATACTTTTTCCAACAAACAAACAAACAAAAATAAAAATCCAAGTACATTCCCATTGTACAAATCAGTTTCGGAGTGTTCATTCTACATTTTTTTCAAACCATTTATACACTTTAAACCATCTTTTCTTATAAGCGTTATCATCTCTCTCTGCTAATATCATATTTAATCTGTCCATTTCTGCTATTTCAAATATTTTTTCCATTATTTCTTCTTTTTTAGGTAGTAAATCTGATTTCCATTTTTTCGCTATCAGAATTCTGCTTAACGTGAGGATATATAACACAATACATTTATCATCTGTATTTACTATATCTGGCAAGATATTAAGCAAGTAACTTTCCGGTTTAAGCTGCAGATCTATTCCAAAGCACGTGCCTGAAACAGACTTGGTGAACTGTGGCATGAACTGAGAACTTTGGAAACTGTAGGTTCCCTACGCTTAGATTTTCACTGGTTCAGAGGCAAGTTGTAGATATTGTGGGGAGGCGGGACACAGTGACATGACTTAAGAGTTTAATTGTTATATCCCATCTTACTCTTATAGCCACAGACCTGCACCAACTTGAAACCTGATTCTTGTTTGTCTACCAGAAGATCCACCATAAACGGGTGTGACAAGGTCTTAAAATGATTACCTGAAAAGTCTCCCTTTTCTCTTTCTGTCATTTTTTTAAAAAAAAATGTAACATCCAACCCAATGGGAGAGTTCTCATGCTTGCACACTGTTAGGCATCGTTGGGTTTGTCCTAAGGCATTCCGCGGATTGCACTCCTGAGTTTTTGGATTACACCATTTATGGCAACTTGAGAAATGCTTTGCTTTGTTTTCTTCTAACCTTGATGCTTTCCCTTAGTATTAAAGGTCCAGAAGCATTTGCACCCAGAAGGTACACCTCAGTCTGGCAGAGGCGGGGAATTCTAACCTCCAAAGCAGTCTATTCTTCCAGACAGTGCTCATTTGAGGGGAGAGCAGATAATCCTGCGTGGGAGGAGTCATCACATTGGCTGATAAATAGGCCCTGCTGTCTAATTTAGACCGGTTATTGTGAACAGAACATTTTTCCAGGGAGGCTGAAAAGACAATGGAACATCTCAAGGCCCTTTAGAGAGAAGGGGACCAGTATTGGTTACAGGCTCTGAATATCAGGTGCCGTGAGCCAGGGCAGGGTCATTCAGTCCAAGGTAAGGGTTCCAGAAGTCAGGCAAAGCGGAGTCGGTCGCTGGCAGCTCAGAAGCAATCCTGCAACTACTCATCTTTGTTATCAGCAAGCAGTCTGCATCGGACCAGGAGACGTGCACTTTGCCATCTTGTCTGTAGCTCTGTTATCAGCCTTTGTCTGCAGCACTCTCGGGGTGCAGGTAATACTGGTGGGCTGGGAACAGGCCAGCTGAGATTCACCTGATGAATCAGGGCTGGAGGATGTGGGTGGCTCTGCACCAGCAGTTGGCTGTGAATCCTGACAAACCTGCAGCTCAGTTTCCTGCTGGTCAGCTTTTGTTGACTCAAGGTTGGCTACACAGGACTCCCCCGAAGGAGTCCTCCTGAGCAGTCCTCGCTATTGCTGAGCCCTGGCTGACTCATGACAGGACCCATTTGAAGGAGGACAAAGAGGAGTGGCCTGTCAGTTGAGAGGTTGAAAGAGGAATGGCTAAAAAGAATCATGGCTGCCTTGATTCCCAGAATGGGATTCCTAACTGGTGTGCCTATCCAAGTTTCATGAACAGTAGACCTACCAGAAGATCTATGCTTTCAGGACTCTGTGGTGGCTTCTGTTACATACTCATCTGTTGGGGTTGGGAACTTTTCTTCTCTCTTCTCTCTTGTGATCTTTTAGAAGGAGAATGTAGAAATGGATGATGTAGGAAGAACTGAATTTTTTGTAGTAACTAACTAGTCCGTTTGTTTTCTCCAAAGCATTTCACAAGCCTGCCCTTATCTCCTGGCTTCAGGAAAGCGAAGCACCATTTCCCCCAGACCCTGAAGAAGAGGAGAGCTTGGCAGGTGGGTGCTTAGAGGTGTGATGGACCTCTTTGTTGGCTGGGGACTGAGTGGTTTTCTTGGAGCGTAGCTAGATGTTTTGGTTTCCTTGGAGGACAGCTAGATGTTTCAGGCCGTGAGTCCATGTACCTGTGGGATACCTCCAGTGATTCTGCCGGCCTGTGAGGTTTCTTTCCTCATACGAGTTTTCATGGGAGGGGAAGGCTGAAACAGTCCCATTCCTCTCAGTATGGATCCAGATTTGGGGCCTTGGATCTTGACCTTGATTCCACCCACCTTGGAAGAATTTCCCCTTCTAATCAGAAGTCTTTGTTCCACCAGGTCACAGGCAGGAGGATGAGAACTATAGTGACCGATGTGCGGCATCTCTCAAAACGACCAGCCACGAGGTGGAGGAAAAGCCTTCCAGGAATGCAGAACAGTCAAAGAGGCAGAAAGAAAGCAAAGTAGAGAAGTCAAGGAATCAGTCTGTAGTTTTCAAGGCTGGCATCCTCCTTGAAACTCCATCCCAAGAAGAATGTAGCAAAGGAAAGAGGAGGAATAAACATTTTGAAAGCAGTAAAAAATTAATCTGTGAATCCAGCTTTTCTTCCCATCAGAGAATCCATGCAGGGGATGAAACATACAAATGCTCTGAATGTGGGAAGGGCTTCAGCAGGCTCGTTAGCCTCACTTCTCATCAGAGAATCCATAAGAAGGAGGAACCATCCAAGAGTTCAGACTGCAAAAACCCTTTTGGTGTAAGTGGAAGTCTTACTTCCCATCAAAGAACCCACACAGGGCAAAAACCATACGAGTGTCCAGAGTGCAGCAAGAGGTTCAGGTGTAACAGAGATCTCACTTTTCATCAGAGAATCCATTCAGAGGAGAAACAATATAAATGCTTAGAATGTGGAAAGAGTTTCCACTGGCGTTCCAACCTCACTGTGCATCAGAGAATCCACTTAAAAGAGAAACCATATAAATGCTTGAGGTGTGGGAAGACCTTCACGCACAGGACGAAACTCACTTACCATCAGAGAATCCACACAAAGGAGAAGCCATATGAGTGCCAGGAGTGTGGACGGACCTTCAGCTGGACAACATCCCTCACTTTACATCAGAGAACCCACTCAGGGGTGAAACCCTACCAGTGCACAGTGTGTGGAAAGTGCTTCACTCAGAGTCCACACCTTGTTTCCCACCGAAGAATCCATTCTGGAGAGAAACCCTATATATGCCAGGAGTGTGGAAAAGGCTTCAGTCAGAGCTCACACCTGACTTTACACCAAAGAATCCACACGGGAGAAAAGCCACATAAATGCTCTGAGTGTGGAAAGAGTTTCCGTATCAGCACAGGCCTCAAATTACATGAAAGAATCCACACAGGGGAGAAGCCATATAAATGTCTGGATTGTGGAAAAACCTTCAATCAGAGCTCAAGCCTTAATACACACCGAAGAATCCACACAGGGGAGAAGCCATTTACATGCTTGCAGTGTGGAAAGACCTTCTCCACCGGCACACATCTTTCAGGGCATTATACAATCCACAGTGGAGAGAAAAAATATAGATGCAGGGACTGTGGAAAAAGATTCAGATGGAGATGCGATTTTTCATACCATAAAAGAACACACAAAGAAGAGGAATCATAGAAATTAAAAGATGAAGAGTTTTTGAAGTACAATAAGCCTTACAGATGTCAAATAAATTACAGAAGACTCCATTTTTTTAAATAATTAATTAGTTAAGAATCTCTCCCCCCCCCCCCAGTGAGTCCTCAAACCTTAGTAAACAGCCAGGAATCTAATAAGGGGAAAGTGCTCAAGAGATCTGTGGTAAACCTGACCATGTAATATTGCTTATTATTCATAATCTCCCTAGAATGGGTAGATATTCTGAAGACATTAAAATGGCACTATCTGCTCTTCATGGGTTTAGCGGATGACCCCATGGGACAATAATGGCACCAAATAGCCCCAAGGATTTAATTTCTCAGAAATGTACTTGCAGATGGGAAACTCCCCACAAAGGGCGGCAGATTCAATCTTTCGTGTCAAGCCTTCTGCAGCCCAGCATTGTATCCTTTGTTCCCAGTGAGTGCAAGAGAGCCGGTTTGGTGTAGTGGTTCTAATCTGGGAGAACCGGGTTTGATTTCCACTCCTCCACATGCAGCTGCTGGTGTGACCTTGGGTCAGTCATAAGTTCTTTCAGAGCTGTTCTCTCAAGGACAGTTCTGGAGAGAGCTCTCTTAGCCCCATCTGTCTCACAGGGTGTCTGTTGTGGGGAAGGAGATTGTAAGCCGCTCTGAGACTCCTTTGGGTAGTGAAGGGCAGGGTATAAATCCAATCTCTTCTTCTCTTCTGCAATTCACTGTTTACTCACCTCATGGTGCTCAGCCAAATCATCCTGGCACATCTTTGGACCATTCTCCATAGGCAGAGAAGATGCCCATTTCTGAGCCTTCTCAGTTGAGATCTGTCTTCCGTCTTGAAAGCAGAGGGGCTGCTGTTACCCGCCATGGCTGTTCTGTGTGTGTTGAGTGTCCAACAATAACCTTTTTCCCAATGGCTGCAGATCGTCCTCCAGCCATGCTGCGAAGTTAAAAAAGGAACAGCTTTGGACTCTTTGTAAGCCAGTTTTCCTTTGTCTCTCTTAAAATTTGATTCCTCTGTTTTTAAATGTTTTTAATAGCTCGTGAGTTGTTTCAGTAGAAAGGTGATTTCTATAAGATCAAAATAAGTAGCGCGGAAAGGAAGAAAGGGGACAGCATAGGTTTTGCGGGAGTAATGGTTTTGTACATAGTAAATGTGGTTTTGCGATGGACAGCAAAGAAAAGAAGAATTTTCAAAAGTCACAGGTGGTTTGGTGAAGAGAAAAACAACACATTTCATTTTTGCATTGTACATTTTTTAAAAAAATACCGAGAAGTCATCCAATGAAATAGAGGTGGTGTTGCTGGAATTTTTGTTGCTGCAACGTTTCAGAATGCATTCAGCATGCGACTGTTTAATTCTCAATAAAGTAAAGCTGTTTGATTCTCAATAAAGTTGTCCATACGGTTCAATGGCTTGTTGGACCTATTTTACCAGACCTCCGCTTGCGAAAGACAGCCTTTATATAAGCTGATAAAGAGCCCAGGAAATCGGTGCCCCAGTAAAGAGGGTATTGTTGGATTTTGCAAGTGTCATTCCTTCCGTCATGAAAGGGTTAAGCCGGTGTTCCTGTAAACTAGTGAACAAGTTTAGCATAGAGCCAATTAGGTTACCTTCAGATTGACTATTGGCTATTCAATACAATGGAGAGAGTTCATGGTGTTCTGCACATACGCAAGAGGTGGAGCTTTGGGAGGCAACTTCCACTGTTCCCCAGGTCAGAGAGGAGGAACAAAGAAACGAGATGGAGAACTAGAAAGATGACCTGGACTGTTGTCTTTTCTTTCCATGTAACCCTTCCCCTAATTCTGAAGTTAACTTTTCCCTAGAAGTTAAACACACACGAGTCAGTGCTGCTTTCTTCCAGTGCGCTTTATTTATTCTGCTAAATATCCCACAGATCTCTCTATATATTGGGTTGTTTTTTTTACATCCTCACATCAATTAATTATATTTTTAAGCCCTTATTGTACACTTAAACAAGATCAACAGCACATTTACCCATATGTCCATACCGTATACCACACTTATTTTCTATGCAACACAGATTAATATAACCATCATTCCTTCAATAACTGAGTTTTCCATTATTATCAATATTCAAATCCAGTCTGCGTTGACTAAAACTCTATATTCCTGTAACCTCTTGAGGTTAGTTAAGTGTAAGTCAAGTTCCAACTCTAATCCCAGCTCCACTCTCTCTATATTGTTGAAGGCTTTCACAGCCAGAGTTCATTAGTTGCTCCATCTTTCTGTGTTATACCTCTGAGGATGCCAGTCACAGCTGCCGGCGAAACGTCAGGTCCTACAATGCCAAGACCACGGCCACACAACCTGGAAGGTCTACAGCAACTAAAGATCTCTCTCTGCTAACTTCTGCTTACTGATTCTGCTCCAACTTGTTTCTGAGGGCTACATTAGCAACGGGGAGAGGGAAGAGCTCAACCTAACTCACACACCCTAACTCACACACCCTGAGCCAGTTTGGTGTAGTGGTTAAGCGCACGGACTCTACTCTGGTAAAACCGGGTTTGATTCCCCACTCCTCCACTTGCAGCTGCTGGATGACCTTGGGCAAGCCATAGTTCTGTCAAAACTGTTCTCTCAAGGACAGCTCTGGAAAGAGTACTCTCAGCCCCACCTACTTCACAGGGTGTCTTTTCTTTGGGGGGGGGAATGGAAATGAGTTCGTAGACTGCTCTGAGACTCTGAGTGAAGGGCGGGGAATAAATCCAATCTCCTCCCCACTTGCCTGCCAGAGATAGAAATGTGCAAACCAATTTTCTGGCTCAGGAGAGGTAATGCTGGAAAAGGATAACTGTGGGGGAGGGAGGGTCAAGTGGGAGTGATCCTCTTACCTCCTTGTTCTCTCTGGGGTGTGTGTGTCCCCAACTCATGCCAGCGGTGTGATAAGAACACTCCTTGCTTCCTCCTGCATCCCTATGATGTCAATACATTATAGAGACTGGGAAGGAGAGATTCCTAGAGTGCTGCCCTTCTGGCAAGCGGTTTTACCACCAGAGATCACAGGACAATTCTTGATCGTTATCCACTGGCAGTTCAAATTCAATAATGCACTCTGATTTTTGAGAGGAGCATCAAGCAGTGTCTCTGAATAAGCAGCGTATTTCTAAATAAATAAATGCACTCAATTCCCTTTCAAAACCTCCCCCCTTCTGCCTCTCAGCCTTTGGGCTCCATTCACTGCCTTGGCTTCACTGGCCCATGGGGAGGGGAGGTGCACTTTATTGGGGCCTGGAGGCCCAGAAGGGCCCAGCAGTAGCCCAAGCTGAAAGCCCCATTACTATGTTGGGGGGAAATATTGAAGAAAAGCAGTAGATTGTGCTTAAAGATATTTATAGAATCTTACATCCTTATATAGGAACTGCGGTGGCTCAAGTGGTTAAGACACTGAACTGCAGGCTGCGGAAGGTCAGTAGTTCAGCAGTTCGAGACCCGGGTCCTGCATGACGGAGTGAGCTCCCGTCTCTAGTTCCAGCTCCTGCCAACCTAGCAGTTCGAAAGCAAGAAATTGCAAGTAGATAAATATGTACCACTTCGGTGGGAAGGTAACAGCATTCCGTGTGCCTTGGTGTTTAGTCACGCCGGCCACATGACCACAGAAACGTCTTCGGACAGCGCTGGCTCTTCGGCTTGGAAACGGAGATGAGCAACGCAACCCTAGAGTTGGACTCGACTGGCTTTTGAGCAAGGGAACCTTTACCTTTGCATCCTTATATCTGTGCTTTTGTTGTCCAGATGTCTAGTTAGATCAGAAGCAGTGTTAGAGCATTACGGTTGCCATAAGAACATAAGAGAAGCCAATGTTGGATCAGGCCAATGGCCCATCTAGTCCAACACTCTGTATCACAGTGGCCAGAAATACCAGGTGCCATCAGGAGGTCCAGCAGTGGGGCCAGGACACTAGAAGGCCTCCCACTGTTGCCCCCTCCCCAGGCACCAAGAACACAGTGCATCATTTGCCCCAGACTGAGAGTTCCTATCTATTTGTTGTTGTTGTTCAGTCGCACAGTCGAGTCCGACTCTTCGCGACCCCATGGACCATCTCCCGCCAGGCCCTCCTGTCTTCCGCAGTCCTCCGAAGTTGGCTCAATTTTATGTTCGTTGCATCGATGACACTGTCTAACCATCTCATCCTTTGCCGTCCCCGTCTTCTTTGACCTTCAATCTTTCCCAGCATCAGGGTCTTCTCCAGTGAGTGCTCCCTTCTCATTTGGTGGCCAAAGTATTTGAGCTTCAGTTTCATTATCTGGCCTTCCAGGGAACAGTCAGGGTTGATTTCTTTGAGGATTGACTGATTTGTTCTTCTTGCAGTCCAAGGGACTCTCAAGAGTCTTCTCCAGCACCATAGTTCAAAAGAATCTATTCTTCGGCGCTCGGCCTTCCTTATCGTCCAACTCTCGCAGCCATACATGACTACTGGGAATACCATTGCTTTGACCATGCGGACTTTTGTTGGCAGGGTGATGTCTCTACTTTTTATCATGCTGTTTAGGTTCGCCATCGCTTTCCTCCCAAGGAGCAGGCGTCTTTTAATTTCATGACTGCTGTCACAGTCTGCGGTGATCTGGGATCCCAGGAACGTGAAGTCTGTCACTACTTCCACAGCTTCCCCTTCTATTTGCCAAGGAGTGATGGGGCCGGATGCCATGATCTTAGTTTTTTTGATGTTGAGCTTCAAGCCCACTTTTGCGCTCTCCTCTTTTACTCTGAGCAAGAGGCTCTTTAGATCCTTTTCACTTTCAGCCATTAGAGTGGTATCATCTGCATATCTGAGGTTGTTGATCTTTTCCCCAGCAATCTTAATTCCCGCTTGTGATTCATCCAGGCCAGCATTTCGCATGATGTACTCTGCATATATATTAAATAAGCAAGGCGACAATATACATCCTTGTCGTACTCCTTTTCCTATGCTGAACCAATCAGTTGTTCCATATCCGGTTCTAACTGTCGCTTCTTGGCCCTTATACAGGTTT